CCTGCAGCCAGCGCTCCTCAGACATGCTCTGGAAGGAAAAATCCTGCAGTCCTTTTTCGGGGGCTTGCTCAGTCCGCCTCCAGGCTGGGGGAAGACTGAATCAGGGCCATGGGATTTTTGCCTTATCTCTCACACTCTCTCCAAACTAAAGCAAGCTCTTTATTCAGGTTGATTTGTATTTGTTTACCTCGGTGTTAGCTCTGACCTGTGTTTTTGGGACCTATTTGGAATTGAGGGGTGCTGGTGGGTTTGGTTCACCCCGGGTGAACCAGGTGCTTACAAGAAAACACGAGTTTGGCCCGTTGGTCACAAGCGGACGGTAGGAACGTGGCAGATGCCTCCAGAGTCAGGGATTTGGCTCCAGTGTCAGTGTAGACCTATTAGTCATTAATGTTGTTGAGGCTTTCTAGTACACAAACACCTATATACTGTATACATACATATATGTGTGTTTTTAATATAGATATGTGTGTATATATGCACACACCTATATACAGGCCACACAATTCCAGACCTCTGAAAACACAGGCAGCTTTATTAAAGTCTTGCACTTTTAGCGTATTTGTACATATAAGCTAAAGCCTGGTGGATGTAATCAGGCTGGTTTGACAAACACAGTGAAAAGTTACTGTACATATTGTAACATAATTAATGTAAAAAAAAAAAAAGAAAAACCTTAGAATTGACTATGAATCTTGGTTTATTTTATATGATGTCAAATACAGATACATTTATAAATGTTACTATTCTTAAAAGTATTTTGTAATGGGAAAAGGAAGTGTCTTATGAAGATGAACAGTTAAGATTTTATTGTCTTGAATCTATGTCCCTGCACAGCTCCATTGGATGGGAGCCTGTGCATTTTGACAAGCTTTAAACAGATTGTACATAGTATTTTCCAATAAAATAAAATAAAATACATAAAAATAAAAGCATACTTATAAAACCTCTAACACTATCTGTGCTGTTTTTTCACTGGACCGTGAGAGTCAGTCCGGGGATCAGAATCGGCTCCTGGCTCTCTAGGAGGTACCAAAGCAGCAGCCATCTCATATAAATGTGTATTAAGAAACAGGGGAGGGGATGGTGGGGCTCAAGTTCGAGCCTGGGACTTCCATGACCAGCATCAGAAACAAGAGGGGGAACCACACAAATCAGGAAGAACAAGGCCTCAGAGGCAGTGTAGCTATGTCTGCACACTATAAATGTTTTAACTTGGTTACAAAAACCAGCTTGAGTTATGCTACTCTTCCTGGGCCGTCTCAGCACTTGAGTCACGTTGTATGCAAGGCTAAGTTAGTCCCAGGCTTCAAAATTTAGGTCTCCTTTTCTTAATTTCATTTCCCCTCCACTTTTGGGGAAACTGAAGTCCTAGAATGTTTTTAAATGGTTTGGACCTTCCTTTGGAAAGGACCGACTAAAAGAGGCTTTAACATTTTGAAAAATCCCCTCCTTGACAGTGAAATGACAAAGAAAGAATAGTGCCTCACAGATGGATTTTTTTTCTCAAGTGAAACAAATTTTTATTTAACACCCCATTTGTCTTACAGTACTTCAACTGCATACAATACATTGTTTTAAAAAGCCAACCTGCCAACACAAATATGTTGCCTTCTTAGTAAAGTGACAAAACTAGCAAAAAAAGACAAAGTATCTGATTTTTCTGGAAACAAATTGGAATATTTAATTTGTTTTAATCTCGATAACAACTGCAATCACATACAAGAATTTTGTATAGTACAACCGGATGAGAAACTTTTAATTGAATCAACACGTAGCAAACTCTTCTAAAAAATTGTGTACGTTCTTAGACAGCCATTGGAGTGATGAACAAGTGGCTTGTCTTAGGAACGGCTTGGAACAGAGTGCTTTTGCTTTTGCTGAACCACATGGCCCAGACCATCAATTGCAAGGCCCAGGAAATGCTTCCGATTGCATTATAAACAGTGCCCTCTCCGCGGTGGAAAGGGCTTGTATTTTCATTGTTATTAGCTGCGCTGTTCCCTCACGTTGTGTTCAAGCCCTTTGGCGTGACTCCGTGGAGACACTGCTGAACAGCACAGACAAAGGGAGGCAGCAGCCAGCTCCTGATGGCGGTCAGTGCTGCCACCGTCCAGCTGGGGCTCGGGGAATAGCGACAGTCCCTTTGAGCAGCACTTTCTCTATTGCAAGCATGAGGGAACACTGCAGCTCTGCTGGTCATTCCCATGGACTAATGATTGGGTTGAAAAAAATGCATTTTATGTGCGTAACAACAATAATAATGGCCTAGGCACAAGAAAGGACTGTGTAGTTTACACCAACAGCCACTGAGAATGTTTCAGGACAAAACAGTCACGGCATAGCTGCCCAGTCACATTGGCAACACTGCAGCAAGTAGTGCAATTTAAAAAAAATGTATAAACAGCATCACTAGTGTCAGCAATCTGTATCCTAGCTATAACTATCAGTTTTGTACTGATGATAATACATTTATTTATTTCCTATGACTGAACCCCCCCACAAAAAGCTAGATAAATTTATGAAAGCTTTGTCTCCTACTTTTTGGTTTGCCAAAGAAATCCTTTTCATCAAAAGATTCCTCCCAGCTTCCTCACTCTGCTCAGCATGTCCTCCTGCACTTCAAACCAGCATGTTTTCTTGTAACAGAAAGAAGTAACATACACAGATAAGTGGAATGATACATCAATACTCATTTAACCACACTGCTCCCTATTGGAGAATGAGCCCTCCTGAATCCCAAAACCATTTCTAAAATCTTCAAGTTACAATTTCAGCGGAAAGCCCCTCCTTAGGAAGGAGCTGAGTAACAGCCACCCAAACCCTTGCTGGCACTTCTGCTTAATTCCAAGCTACATGCAGTAGCTGACCTCCCGCAACAGACGTGCTCACCCACAGTCTCCTTATGCAATAGGATGTGAATTGGGGTTCATCTCTGCATCACTGAGAACTTCAGATAGCCATAAGGCACAGAGCTCTCTGCCCCTAACCCCGCAGGGCCTGAAAGAAGAGTGATAAAGTCGAGGCATACCCCTTTGGGGCTCAAAACAGGGAAAGATCTCCTATTGCTTTAGCCCCCTTCTTCCCAAATGAGCCTGCATGCATTTGTTAGCCAAGCTGTCTCCACCACAGAAAGGGTAGGAAAGTGAGCTAGACACTCGTTCTGGAGTTATTCTGCCCCCATGCAAAGCAAGAGTGTCCCTCAACTTCAGTACATTACAACAAACCAGAGCAGCAGCCCAGCACACACACCTGCGGGTTACAGTCCTTGGCTACAGCCAGGATTTACTACATCAAGATCTCCCCAGGGGATCAGACCACAATCCATGGGCTCCAAGAAGCAAGAACTTGCCGTTTAGGCAGTTGCTCAAGTCCTGGCAGCCTGCTGAAAGCAACCTTTCTCCAACTTCTGCCCTGCTGGGACTGGACACGTGGCCACTCTGACTAATCTTGGTGGATCAACCTGCAGACATATTACAGGAAGGATTTAAATAGATATTACACTTCTGAGGCAAAAGATATAAAGAAGTTGAATAGAAAATCTATGCAGCTAATAAACATTAGTGTTCCTCTAAACATCCAAACTTTTCACCTTACTTGTATTTAAAAAAAAAAAAAAGAAGTATATATATGCTGGTCATTTGCTGTTTACAAATAGATATAACTGCATTACAGACAATAACTACTATATAATTGGTAATGGCTCTACAGTCTCTTGGACTGACGTTAAAGAAAACTGATGTTTTAAAAAGGTACTCGGTTTTGCATAACTAAACCATGTAATATCACAAGGCTATTGTATTTTGCAGGTTCATTCAGTACAGGTTTTGTACTTATATTTTAACCTGCATATAACTCTGTTTTTCCAAACATCTTGGTTCTCCACCAAAAAAGTGTCTTTGAGTGCTAAGAATTTCATGTCTCTGTGATGCATTGCTTAGCAAATACTACATACTGTTGAGTACTTCTTGAAATTAACAATATCCACAATGATCCTACAAAAGCTTTTTGTATGAGTAGCTGCATCTGTTTTCATGGGACTACATTAACTTCAGCATGATTGCTTTGCATAAGAATTACTCACTGAGCAAACCTTACCTGATTAAGTCCTGGACTAGAACATCAGGATTATCTGCTTTGTCTTTTCAAAATAACATTATAACTGTATTCACTCACTGTTTTCATAATGTAACACAATAGTGCCCTACTTGCCTCAGAAACATACATATGAACGGATAATTTAGTTTGTATATTTTATGCACAAAGCAGACTGACGTTGCATCAAGTGTGATTACTTTATGAAGGCTTCTGAAGAAAGCTGCCTCATTTCTCAAACATACGATACAGTTTCTGAAATTATCATTTGTTCAATAAAACCTTGTTTTACATTAATTCCTTAGAGCACTGGGCAAGAGGTTGGAAAATAATTCATATATTCATTGCTCTTGATCAAAACTCTTCTTTAGAAGCAGCATTGGAACTTTAATACCCGTTGCAAATGCTGGCATTTCAACAACTGCTTGTAACGCAAGCAGGAATTTAATTATACCCCTCATTCATTTTATATTGCAAAAAAGGCATCCAGCACTGAGTATTCCCATTTCCATTCCACTTCTTAAAAACAAAAACAAAACAAAACACACCTTATAAAAATAATGCTGTTTTGCAGAGAAAGACTGTCATACTGCCTTTCAAAATACCCATTTTTAACCCATTTTAAGGTCAGCAGAGAGACGCCCAGTTTACCTTTTTTCTTTTTTTTTTTTTTTCCTTTTTTTGTAAAAATACAAGCACTTCCCTCTTTCTTTAAAAACCCATTCTAGCCCAAGCTACCTAAGGCTCAAGGTCAACCTTTATCAGCATTAACGCTGCTTGAGCTTGCCTCCACATGTCGCTTACCATATCATTTTATATATATTAAAAATCCCAATTCAGATTCCAGATTTTGTTGTTGCCATTAATCCTGGCAGATATAAAATATAAGAGCAGCAATGATGTAGAGAGCTATAAAAAACAAGGAATAATTACAAGATTGAGGTGTGGACTCAGAGCACACAAAGGAGCAACTGCAATCTGTCCACAGCAGTTCCATAGTCAGTGTTCAGCTAATTAGGAAGCAGCTAAAGACGATTCTGTTCTTCTGTTATGCAAACACAAGCAAAATCATATATTTTATCAACATGCTCCCAAGGAGCCAACAATGGCTCCTCTTGCAAGATGTATAACAATCACCGTGCAGTGAGACAGCGAGAAAGATTGAGCCACTGCTTTCCCTCAATTTCAACCATCTACACCAGTCTCTGCATACACACGCAGCTTGGATGACCAAGAAACTTGCACCCCTTTCACCTGTGTTTTAAGGGGATGGGTATGCAAATGGGATTTTTAAATAGTAACTCATATCTAGAAAAAAAAGGAGAACCCCAGCCGTAACAGCACTAGCTAAGGGCCACATTGCAAAAAACTGAGATGGGAGCTGGGAGAATGCAGTTCGCAAACTGCCAGTGAGGGAAGACCCTGGGAATCTGCAACTGTCCAGGCCCATCGGTGACACCAGAGCAAGGGAACTGAGAGCCTGGCAACTTTCTTCTCTAATCACACACTCTTGTGGCCAACGGAGCTACCAGTTCAGAGTTCTTAGTTTTCATCCTGCTTTGACCCCAGTCCACTTGCAGGTTGAGAAATAGCTATTTAAACTAACCTAGAAGTCAATCTCTTAGCTGTCGCTATCCATTTTTAAGTGAAAATGGCTGGAAGTCATTACATTCATCGCAATAACAGAAACGAACCTGGAGAGCATACAGTGTAACAGCTGTCATTCAGAAAGGTTCGTCATAGTGCCATTCATAGATCACATCTAGTATTTCCTAGCAATGTTGCATATTTTAGTAACATGGTAAAAACAGTTTATTCTTCAGTCCTTTTTGGACTGAAACTTTTGAACAATGCAAGAAAGTGATTGTGCTTGAAACTAATTTTATTTACATAAAAGCATACTAGTATCTGATATTTAAAGCTAACTCTTCATACCCCATTCCCTATGTAAACTCCACACTCAGTTCCCATAGTAGAAACGCTCATTTGTAAGTGCTTTATGTTGTTAATGAAGAGTGCAAAGGTGAAGAAAATTATACCCTGGTTCTCGCTTTCAGTTGTAACATTTTAGCACTCTCTATTTTAGCCTTTATTTCATGCGGTTTCTCAAAAAATCTCACAAAGGCTGGCTCATTCAATAAGGATGCCAGAATCTGTTCAAAGGCAAAAGACCACTCGTGTTCCCCTCTCGAACTCTGCGCTCTACTGCCTTCAGCCTGCTCAGAGCTGCTTTCCTCCTGCCCTTTGTTTGGGACTTCAGCAAGCAACTCCGTAACGGCAGCTGGACTTTTGACTGGTGACAGTGGACTCTGCAGTCTTCTTCCAACTTCTTCCATTTTCAATAGGAGGCTGGTAACCACTGCTATAGCCCGATATAACAGCTCCTCTTCAGGGTCCCCATGGAATAGATTGTACAGGGTTTTTGAGAACTGGATGAACTGTGACTACAGAGAGATACAGAGGAAACTATTCAGAGAACAGCAACACAACTCTCCTGCTTCACTGGTTTAAATCCTGGACTGCTATCACTAGGTGCCTAGTACAACAACAGCTCTGATGATGAAAGGGACGTGGACCAGCCTTGATAAACCTAGGTGTGTCTGAAAGTTCCTCTCTCTGTGAACTTACAGTTACACCAGTTTAAAAAACACAATCTAATGATTAATCTGAAGGTCTGAAATTTAAGGGATCCTACGAGCCTTTTAGAAAACTACTAATAGGACTTAAAGGATAAACAGCAAACAAAAATTGACTCGTAAAAGACTAAGACACAGGCAGTTTTACCTGATTCATCCTTGGCAAATCCTTAATATTTTCTTCTTTTTTAATAAGTTCATCTTGCCACTGCTTCAGATATGCCTGAATATCAACCTTCCCCTTCCCTACTTGATGGGGGGGGAAAAAAAAAAAACATAAAAAGAGTAAACATGAACTAAGACCTCCCCATGAGGGATGATGTGCGGCCTACAACTAAACAGGCCAGAGTTTACATTACCTCCTCCTCCCAAGCACTACATTTATAAAAGTGGGTATATTATCATCATGCTTAAGATCACTCAGTACAGCATGATATTAATTAGTATACTTCCTCAACATACACTTTCCCAGCTCCTCTCCCCCAGAAACACATGGTTACCAACTGTGTCTCCAGGATTCTCTACCTTTTTCTGGGCTGCTCTTCAAAGCGTCACTTTCAAGACTATCCACAGTAGGTGAAACTACAGTTTAGAAGGAGAAAAACAATTTGTTATTTCTCTGAGAAAGGAAGAGCAAAGGCTTCATTTACTTTTATCAGAAATTCCTTGCTCAAGAAGCAAGACCCTTAAGGATCCCTGTATTCTCACCACAGATTAGACCAAGAAGAAACTGCACGGGTCAGATATGTACAATTTCAAATTGTACAATTGTACAACAACAGCAACAAACACCATGAGCCACAGTGAGGCTGGAGATGAAAGAAGAAACTTCAATCAGCTATATCATCAGGTAGATAATCCTGATAATGCTTACGGCCACGGGTTGAACAGCGGTGAGAACAGTGCCCATATCACAGATATGCTACTTTTGGATAATTTATAAAAACCTGAAAAGGATCTGCCCTCCAAGCAAGTTAAAAGACACAGCTTTCCAAAGAGAATACTTTAGCGACTACATACATTTACACGACAAAAATTTTTTCAACACATCGGCTTTAAAATGGAAGCAAAGGATTTTGAAACCCTGGCGTACATGCATCAAATAATTATGGACTTGGATATCAAAATCCTTGAGGCAGGAAACATGCCTTTATGCCTTGAATGCCAAGAGGAAATAGCCAGCACTTTCATAAATAAAGCGTGGCAACAGAAAGGTTGCCAACTGCAATGAAAAGTACTGATGAGATATACCACCCTATTTCCACGTAAATACTTGTGGCTTTTGAATTCTGTCATCAGACATACGTAATTCAGGGCAAGGATCTCTGTTCTTTGTACAGCGACCCCTGAAAAGACCTGTTACTGAGGCTTGCTACCACATAAAGTTTGTATGTTCATAAATAATAATTAAACTACATATTGCTAAAGAAAAATTGCTTTAAAGAAGAACGTCGATCCACAACAAAATTCTACACTACCTTGTATGAAAATACAACTATCTAACTATCCTTCACAGAGGATTCATGTCAACAGGGACATGATTTCCTGGAAGAGATGATTTCAAAACAGCAGCTGGAGGCTTTCAGAAGAGAGCTCCCCGTCCTTCAGCACACAACAATTAATAGAGACCTTCTGATATTTTGCAAGCAAAATCAAACATTCTGGAGTTTACCACTGAGCTGGCTGAAGTGGATCAGTTCTTCTTTTGAAAGATCACCACCTTTGGAAGGACTCAGAGATTCTACTTCAGTAAAAGCTGCAATGAATGAATAAATAGTTTTCATGGCTCCCAAAAATTACCAAAATAGTAAGAGAAAACAAAAGCTTTGCATAGGCATACTGTCCCTATGAACAAAGTAGAAACGGTGTTTGAGCAGATTAAGTCCTTCCCAAAGGATACATTACTCTGGAAGAAATATACATCTGTATTACAGCTATGGGATAGTACAGTGACAGTGATAACGGGAAGGAAGGTAAAGCTAAAAGAAAAAGAAAAATCACACAAAGATGAGAAAAGACAGGAGCAACCCTCCCCAAATGCCAATGCTTCTCACTTACCTGGAGGGATGTGTAACTTAAAAAGCAGCTTGAGTTTCTCAGTGAAACTTCCATTATACATGATATCTGTTAGAAGAGAACAGCAAGACAGTCCGCTCAACTGGATCAAACTTTAAAATATCCTGTTAACCTAAACAAATGCAACTGAGGGAGGTTGGAACTGGACATATGTCCTGTCTTACTCTGCATATAATTACAGATGAAGGTTAAGGATGGCAACATTCCGGCAAATGAACCTGGGGTTTGTCTACACTGAGGAAAGAACACTGCCTTATGACATTTCATCATACTATCCTATTCTTAAGTATGTCTGAACGTCTAGAGAAACATGAACGTATGTCTCTCTAACAGGCCATAACACCTTTTGTAATGAGTTAAAACTGCGGTTACAGAAGAAAGTAAAGTCAGAGCATAGAATAATGCCTATCATTTACTAAAATGAAACTATAACATCAAAGAAATATGTTGCTAATGTCTTCTCAGCATTTTCCCTTAAATTTTTGCTTCCTGCACAATAGCCCTTTGAAAATAAGATGAAAGGAATACAGTAGTAAGTCTAGACAACTTTCAGTTCCCCAGAGATATCCCCAGTGCCCCTGAGCATTGGCTATCTTGCATGATCTGCATATGAGGTAGTTTACAGTGTGAGGAAGTATTTACCATCAACCAAACAGGTTGGGCAATACAGCCACACTATTTCCTAACTTTCTGCTATTTTGATGGTAAAGTCATTTTTAAATATAATCTCAGATGGGAAATTACTCTCCACAGGATTAACATTTTAGCAAAATTACCAATTTGTGAAGCCTGATGTTAGCCATTTCATGGTCCAATATAGACAAGCAAATCAGAGCACAGTTCTCCAATTAAAAGCTCTTATCGTGCACCTACTCTCAAACTTATAAACATACTTTGAGCCCTTGACTTGCCATTTAATCTTTGCATTTAATGTTATGCAATAAAGATAAGACTATTTCAACCCTAAGTTAAGAGACTAGTCTCCTTAAGCTCCTTAGATTTAGCATGGAAGGAGATATACAGAAGCATCTCCAGAACTCCTCCCAGGACAGAGTTCCCTTGTCAACGTGCTACGTATGCATTGTTCTCATACCAAGAACAGAGGCAAATTGTTTGAAGTTTATAAGGCGATCAGAGTTCTCATCCACGAGTCTGAATGTCCACAGCGCAAGTGAGTCTCTGTTTGCACAATGTGACCATGGGCTCAAGAGATGATAGAGAACCCTGAATTGCTGGCAGTCGATTCGATATTGGTCAAGGTATGGCAGACTGGCATCATGGTGTCGCAAGACAGGACTATTTACGTTCCAATAACAGGAAAGAAAGTGCTCCTTCTGCAAAGGAAAGGCAAAACGTTAGATGATATGAAAGGACAATTATCCCTCTGAGTGAAGGATGTGGGATGTTGTGGGATGTTAACTATACCATCTGGTTTAAAGCTGACATGCAAAACACACATGCTGAACCTAGCTTTCACTGGAATTGTTAAAACTGTTACATACCCATAGTACAGTCCATCAAGATAGATGTTTGATAAATGAGGAAAACAGCACATTACCTTGAATAATTCATAAAGCTCTTCAAGGTCACTAGGACTGAATTTTACATCCTGGGACACAACACGTAGCTGAAGCAAAATTAAGAGAAAGTCAACTCAATGATGAGTCTTTCCCTCTTTGGAATAATACTGTAGAATCAAGTTATAGAAGACTTAATTATAGAAGTTATAGAAGACATTAAAAGATGCAGTTTGAATATTCCAGGTTTTGGCATGTTACAATCAGGAGTAAGAAAAGAACCTCTACTTTAAAAGCAATCAGAAGATGATGGACTGGAAGAAATAATTTCTCACAGAAAAGGGAGCTTAATGCAAATCACATTATCTGCATACACTGAGCCTACATTGAGACCAAAGAGATAAAATTGGAGTGCCAAATTATTTATAGTGATGCAACATATAGCTTCTTTTACAAAAGACAAATGCACATTCAGCCCTTACCGGTGAAGCTGAATCTCCATTTCTTTAATGAAAAAAAAAGTTCACCGTTTTTAAAATCCAATTTAGCTACAAGACCAGGATCCATCTTCACAATAGGTACATTTTATAAAATGAAATACGACAGTTACAATCTTAGTGCAATCAACAGCATTTGGTATCATTTGCTACAAGCCATATTTAGCAAAGAATGAAGCACGGCTGGTTAAATACACCATTATCATAATCAGTTATTGGAATCGAGCCACTGAAGAAAACAGGCAAACGAAGGAAGCTCCTTGCAACCCTTGCCTTCATTTAGGAGTCTGAACTTTAAGGATGATGGCAGCTAAAGAGTTGCCACACCACGCATGCATTATAGGACACACACCAAAGACAAAAGAAACAACTTTTGTTAAATTGCAGTACAATAATCTCTTCAGTGACATTTATGATCACTTCCTAGAGCAAAAATGCAAGTGACAAATTGTTTTATTGTAGCACTATGGGCATTTTACAGTGCTTTATGTTTCTAAGAGAAATGCATTAACACTTTAACAACAGCTGAAAGAAATAAAAGTCAGCCTCTTCCAATTAATGCAGAGTGTCAAGAGATATGCTAGCCTTTAGAAGCTGTCTGTGATGATGTTACTTGTAATAAGAGCAGAAGGTCATGCTGTGATTCACAGATTGAAAACATCACAAGCCAAGACCTCAGTTAACAGGCACCCTGCAGATGAGAGGGATTTCAACCTATAAAATGATTTACTTGGCTTTGGAAAATTCAGCTCATCTCAGAATTTCCTAAAAGGGGAGGAATTTTATCAGATGAAGGCACTGAGCTCTCTCAAGACACTCACCACATTCTGCTTGGTTGTAGCTTCTAGTGTCTGGATAACATAAAGCCTGTTCCTGCAGCGCATGCTCTCAACATCCTCATATCGAATATCGCCGTATCTCTACGAGGAAAAGAATAGTTCTATGAAATCAACTGCTGCTAGACTCATCTAAGCAGATACCTTTACCTTTCTTGCATCTAAGCATCATACAAATACAGATATGGAAATAAAGCAAGATCCCAGAAGCTCAGCAGAGAGTCATTCGTTACAGAATTAGGATTCCCCCTAAACAGTGCAACTCTTAAAAGGGTAAGTGTTTCAAAGAATGATAGCGAAAGAAAAGAAACTGTGGAGTAGTATATCGTGTATGGGAAAACAAAGGAAAGGACTTTACACCGTGTTGGCTCTATACTCAGCTGCAATTGGTATTCCTCAGTGGCTCTGAAAAGCAGATCAGCTTTAGGAGCACCCCAGAGGAGATGTATTGGATATTAGAATATTATACTCCAAGAGAAGTTGCATTGGGTGTTAGGATATTTTCTGACTAAAAGTAGAGAAATACTACAACAGGCTAAAGTTGTCGCAAGTTCTCTTTTTTAGAGAGTTTTAAGGACAGGTTAGCATATTTTTCAAAGATGATCTGCGTGTACTCTGGGCAGGAAACTGAACTAGGTGACCTCTAGAATTCTCTTCCAGAATCAAATTTTATGTTTCTGTGAAGACCAGCAGCAGCATACTTCAGCCCTGGAACAAAGAGGAAGCAGAGCAGAAACTGCATCTCTGAGTCATAACTCTTTCACTGGTCTAGCTCCTGGACATCGATATTGTGCAATGGCCTCAGCAATAATATAAACAAGATATATAATCTAACCCTGAATTAGTGCAGTAAATTAAAAGCTACATTTCCTTCCATTCAGCAGTTAAACACGGCTTCTTCATACCAGATTAGACGGTAAAAGAATGAATCTTTCATTTGTGCCTGAGTCATAAAGGCATAAAACTGAACATCCTTTTAAAATTCAACTCCATATCTTTTCACTTTATCTCATTTATCTTCCTAACACCCATGTGAAGCAACAGCATCACACAGAACATCCCCGTTCACTTATTCATGATTAGTAACTAGACCTATCTGTGGGATGACAACTGCTTTACAGCAATCCTCCCATTTTGAAATTTATTTTCATTCCACAGTGATATGAAAAGAAAACCTCTTACTAAAACAGAATTATGTTGAAATAAACTGTCTGGTCAAAATGGGAAGTGAGAAATTGACTCTTACTGTTGTATCAACAGTTCTCAAACAAGGGGTTGTGACACTTAGGAGCCTTGCAGAAATTCATGACAAGTGAAGGTACAAAACTTGCATCCAGAAGAGGGGTTACGAGATAGAAATGGGGATACAGGCCTAGAAACAAGGATGCCAACTTGGGAGCGAGAAATTCAGGTTCAAGGTTCTGCCCAACTTAGTGTGCAAAAGCCAGACCAAATTACAGGCCACTTTCTTGGGCCAACAACCTGGGCCCAGGTTCTTGGGCAGAACAAGAAAGGGAGCTTCTTTTGTATTCTCTGGTCTTTCAGTAATGATTCCATCTTTGTGAAAGCTTCAGCTTCCACTTCTAAATGCAACACACAACACTTCATTATTGACCACCTTTGTTCTTTAACCTGTGCCCATTCCCCCTCATTACTATGAGAGTTCACCATGACAAGAAAAACCTGTAAGTGTGCAATTCTTTTTACAAGGATCTTCAAGTGTTTTACAAATAAGGCGGATCAGCATTGCATTCTTGTGAAACAATCCTGATAGCAGAAACACAGACGTTTTATATGATTAGCCCAACACTACAGAGAGGGTTCAAGAGAACTTGAATTCCTGATTCTTGCCTTTTGCTCTTCCTACTAAAGCAAAGCCCTCTTCTCAGTAAGAATCAAAAGAGAGAATTCCACCCCTCTAAATTACACCAGTAACAGCTACTTAATCCTTTCTGAGTCAAGACCAGGACATTTTTCCAGAAGAGATGTATTATGGCTCTTTTGCTGAAAATATGCAAATGAGAGTCAAAAAGAAGGTATCGCAGGGATAAAAGAAACAGGCTAATAGGAAAAAAAAAACCATGAACAAGTCTTTTCTCTCAGCTTGCCGTTCATTTCAGATGGACTGAGCAGAAACTTAAAACACAAACCTATCTAAAAATAGATAAATACCCTGATCTAAATTATGCCAAGGAAGGAAATGCCTCATGGATACATGAGGACAAAAGAAGGAGAAACTAAAGTTATTTCCTCCCCAAAATAGAGCTGCAAAAGCTAGACATTGCAGAACAAAAGTTACAAGTTGAAAGGAAGTGGTAAAAGATCATAACTGGCATTTCTTACCCAGCATATCTCAAAATGTCCATTTCATCAGTCCATTAAACTACTGGAGCACCACTGGCTGCTATGTCAAATGTTACCACTATCTGCAACACGCAGTAAGCAGTTGCAAATTAGTAACTGCAAGGGCTGCTTCTCCTGCACCTTCAGTTTGTCATTTAGTTGACGCTGTACAGGGACTAGGACAGTGAATAAAGGGATGCCAATACAGGACCTATGAAGAACCCAAGCAACTCCACTCCGAAGCAGCCTACCAAGCACGTTTCAGGCAGTTAAAAGAAAACTAACAATACAAAAACAAACCTATCCCATAACTTAACCTACAAGGTTTTCAGTGAGACTCAGTAAATTATAGAGCCCCATCTATGCCAATCTAGAGGAGTCTTCTACTTCTCTAGTGTGTGCAATGCAGCTGCAGTATTTTTAAGGTAGCCCATGAAGTGCAAACACCGCATGAAAACACACCCACAACAAGAACACATACTTCATTTGACTCTCGGATCAAATCGGTAATGTCCACTTTCGGGTGGTCACTCTTTGTATTGCTGAGGTTGGAGCCCTGCTGCACAGTTGGAGGCAAGGGACTGTCTTTGTTGGTGACACTGTCAAAAAACCTGCTCGAAGCAAACACAGCAAGAAATAGCAAGTCCCAGTTTATCAAAACAAAAATATCACATCAGCATCTACTAAAGAAAAAGCAAGCAGGATATGGGAAATAGTCAGCAAGAACCTCGGCAGGACTAGCATGCACATACTGTAACAGTATACCGCAGATAAGCATCACAGAACTGGCTATCCAGAGAACGTAGTGGAGCCTCAGACCTTGGAGGTTTTCAAGACTCAGTTAGATAACAACATGGCTGATGTGATCTAGTGCTGGCAATAGTCCTTTTTTGAGCAGGAAGCTGGACTAGAGACTTCTGGAGGCCCCTTCCAACCAGCATTCCTCTGGTTCTCTGATCCATCCAGGGGATGAGCAGTGGTGTACTACATAACCAGGAGACAGGAATGGAGGCTTGTGCTGAACTGTGAACCAGACAACCTTAATTCCCTCACGTGCAGAAGCCAGGACATGTCTGATATGCACCTGTTCATCACACATACATCAACAGCCTAAACAGTCCCATTACGGAGGTCAGCCAATGCCTTTGCCAACACTGAGGAACAGAAAGAGAGGAACATATCTACTGAGCAACAGCTTCCTTTTTCTTGAGGAGAAGCAAACGATTGTAACGACTCTTTAAAATACCTCAGAATGCTGCTGCCTGGCTTAACTGTGCAACAGAAGCGTTATAGCCAGATAAAATGTTGAAAGCAGGAGTTCAAAAGGAGTTCACAATAATCATCATAATCTTGGGTTTAAGAGGAAGAGGCAGCATTGTTTGCACCAAGTGAGAACTACATTTCACTCTACTTTCATATTTTAAATTTTAATGCACTTAAATTGGGCAAAAGTGCACTTAATACTGGTGTTTTTTTAAGTGGTAAAAATTTTAAATGAGCACGTGTAGGTTTTACAATAAATACCATAAATAAATAAATAATCTCTTATGATTAAAAAATATGCTCTCCTCATTAATTCCGTAGTTCTTACCCTGTTCAACTATGCAATATTTAAAAGTTTGGCTAAAAGGAAATTCCTACTATTAGTATATAATAATTATAATTTTTGACGCATATGGCACAGCCTCAGTATCGTGTTTGCTGTTCTAATATTCACTGACACATAATTACAGCAGCAGCAGCAACAACAGAATTTAGGAAGGCAAGGAAGTCAAAATTGTGCATGTTTTGCTTGTAATGCACTGGTTATGACTGCACTTTATGTTGCATATTTAACTTTCTTCAAATACTAATACAGAACATGACTGTCATGACTGGCCATGACTGTCCCCAACAATTTTTTTTTTGTCCCCTAGGTATCATCAGCTATTAGCAACAGAGGAGCTAGTAGCCTAAACTACAAAAACAGAACTGTGGAACAAGTTGTTGCTGAGCTGATGTCCAAAATGTTTGAAAAAGTCTAGCATCCTCTTGATTACCTGGTCATTAAGGAAAGCCACCTTCAATAAGTGATAACAATTTCAGACAAAAAAACACTAGAGTTTTACTTTAAAATACATAAAACGGCAATGGTTTTAGAAGAGGTTTAAGAGAGGATGGGATTTTCTGAGCAACCAGGTGCACTTCCAGCCCCGCTTCCAGAATTTCAGCCTGAGATGAAAAATGAATTCCTTGGAAGCCTTTAGAAGTCTTGGCCAGATGTCTTCTCAGCTGCCCCCATAATGACATATCTAAGTGCTAACACCACCTGCAGGATAATAGTTACATCGATACCTGTTGAGAACAGTCACTGCTTCTGCATCATCCTTACAAGTCAGCAACTTTTCAATGTTGTAGTCCAGCACTGTGAGGCCCAGCTGCAAGATTGCCTTTATTCCATCATAGAAGAAACAGTCCACCACATTGACTGCACTTTCAATAGGCAGCACACTGATGAAAAGGGTAAGGAACCAGGAGAGAGAGACCGAGGAGAAAAAAGTCATGTCCGTCATGTGATCTGTCAACTGAGGCAGATGAACCCTGATGAGCTCCTCAAACACTGCCTGATCTACCAAGGCACCTGCAGGGAGAGGACAACAAAACCACCACCCAGACCTTAGTACAGAGAAGCATACTTTCCTCAGAGCACTGGCCAGAAATAGAAACCCTAGCCTATTGCAACTTTGCTATAAAAACAAACACAGGCCTGGCTGCATGGCGTCATCAACTCCATCCCCTGTGCTGGAAGCCATGCACCCAATGCACGTGTCCAGAGCCTCAGTGCATGCTGTAGAGTACGCTAATACTTCTGTGTGTGTGCGACTACTGATGATGATTCACCTCACAGCTGATACACCCTCTCTGCAACGAGAGAGAAATTTCATGTGCGATTTTCTTGTAGCATATACATCTGCAAACACTGGCTCCTGGATCAAAGAATAAGTGTGGGACCTGGAACTACTGTTTTTCCTTTATTTAAGCTGTCTAAGTTTCAAATTAATAGTATGAATTTCAGACAAAATTCCAAGAGAAGAGTGTAACAGTCCAGACAATTGCTTCCTGAGCAGTCACCCCTAGAGCAATGACAATATTTGAAAGTCACATCCACTCATGCTTAAGGAGGGGCTAGGGATGTTGAGTTACTTTCATTTTCTACTTTACAATACTGAATCAAGCCCAACAATTTCTCTCCAGTGATCAGGCTTCAGCTCATTCCTTAACACTGGTTCTCAATCAATGATCATTTATATTCAGTTCCAGACAGATAAAAAAGACAGAAGGACATTACCAATAATTCGGCGATTGAAATAATCAGGTAGCATTCTTTCACAGACAGCAACCAACAGCCAGAACGCTTCCTCCTCTTTAGCATACAGCAGAAGTACTGATGTCAAAATATTCATTGCCTGTAACGTTTAAACAGGAAAGGAAGCATTTACAAGAGAAGATGGTGAAAACACAACTCAAGTCTGTCAGGTGTTAAAATTCATATTTCTGAAGGCATTTTACAGCACGTTATCTTTAGATAAAGCTAGGATAAAGCACAGGTGTATCCAGTAAAAGACTCTTACCTCAGTATCATCAAATGCAGAGCATAGTATTTAAGCTATATAAAACTGTTAGGTGTTAGAAGTCTAGTAGAAATACAAAGACATAAATGCAATAGACATGGCAGCACTTAACAGTAGATTCAAGTACAAGGCGAAAGCTGATGTTACATAGCAGGATGAAATGAGCAATGTAAGTAAATCACTGACCAAGAAACCATAAATATTTGTGCGATTGATTTCATGACGTGCCACTATACTGCTACAATGAACTAATGTTTATAGACAACCAACGCTAAGGGTCTCAAGACTGCTGTACCTGACAATATCCAATTTGGGGATTCCTGTAGGCATAAGCTGTAAGGACTCTCCTGAGGGCAGAAATTCCTGTGTCACTTTGAAAAGCAGGATGCTCAGGTAAGGAACGACGCAAATCTCGTTCAATTTCATCAGTAGCTAACGTGCATGTTCCTAAGGACTTTTCCACCAACTCAGTGTAATAACCAGGGTTGGATGCCATATCATTTACTGCACCTGCCAATACATTTTATTGCACAGCATTAGAGGACAACAGTAAAGCATCTACATGATTTTCCGTAATTTGTATAGAAACTTTCGGTGACTACTGGGGTTACACGAATCTCCAGATATTAACTCAGTCTTATATCAGAGTAATTCTACTGAAACTGATGGGATAACACCGTAACAAAAACAGAAAAGCAATATAAAACAGAGCTTGGAGCAAACCTAAGTCACTTTCTACTATAAACTTGACTTGTTTCTTTTTTTTCTGTTCCATTTTTAAAAAGCTTCTTTCTACCTACAAATTTGCCTAAATTTTCTGGCAAACACAATAGCTTACCCTCTGTTAAGCTGGTAATAGATGACACAAAACTAGGCAGAGGACTGAAATTCATCTGTAAGTACTACCTATAATTTTTTTTTACCAACACCATCCAAGACGTAGAGCTATCAATCTGGTAACAGAAATATAAATGCTTAGGTAAATGCTCAAAGAAGGCTAGCAATGATAAATCCACGTTCCCACGTCCTCATAAGGAACTACCATATAGTAGGTCGAGAGAAGAGGTAAAAATCTGTTATGATAAATGGCTCCCTCTAGAAGGACAGAAGCAAGCTCCACCCAGGGAAACAAGGCAAGAATAGCTAGCGAGTTACGCGCTGGGTGGGCTCCTGAAAATCTGCAGCTAATTTTCTGGATCTGACACAGCTTTCCTATATGACTCCGATCGAGTTAGCAGTTGCTGCTTTTCTAAGTGTTGCACTGAATGGGAGTAAAAAGCGAACAGAACTGTTGTAAAGAAGTGCCTTAATTCCCTGGACTTCCATTTCCACATGGTAAGTACTCTGACACAGGTATCTTGTACAGAAGAAAGCCAGAAAAGCACTCAGAGCTTCAGCAAGAGATCTCATATATATGAGTAAGTCCATGATCCCTGTCTCATTCTTTGCACCAAGCAATACCGTGCAGCAAAGAGCCGCTAAAGCTGGGGCCAAATTCTCTGCCAGAAAAACACTATTTGTCTGGGAATGCTGTCCTCTCAGAAAGCTTAAATCAAAGCAATTAAAGACAGTCCCACAAATATGTTTTTCTTTTAAGCAAGTAAAGAGGCTTTGCTGAAACTGATTGTCCCTTTGAACTTCAAGAATACAACTTTTATTCTTACCGTCCTTTTTCACCTGAGTGTGTGGCAAAAACACAGATTCAGGTTTAGTGTGAATCATTGCAGATTGGTATAATTTTATCTATTATTTTGAAGTATTTTTCTTTAGAAAGATCCAAATGATTTACTGCAGGTAAGAGCATTTTTTGGACAGAATCCATTCAGTCACTATCTAGAACATTCATATAGCAAGAGTCCACAAAACGAATTAATTACATTTGTTACACAATACCTGAGAAGAGTAGCCAGAGCTCTCCTCTTAAGGTCTCTGGAATCCCTCTTACAACCAGGTCTCGAGTCTTCTTTGTCCGAAACATACTGACACCATGTCCGCGTTCAACAAAGAGGATGTGCCAAGACTGTTCTTTCATTTTTTCTTTCAACTATTAATAGGTAAAACAAAAGACCAATAAGTATACCAGAAGATTTTCTCATGTTTCAGATGATAGAGACAAATTTGCTCTATGTTACATTCATATATACTGGAAACAGCAGCTGTGGTATCAATACTGGTATCTGAAATTAAAATTGGTGCAAATCAGAGCAAAATCTAACCTGCGTATAGAGTAAGTTTTGTGTATAGCTACACCAATGCATTCTCCCAAATGACCTACTATTCTTTTAAGAACATTATTATGAGAACATCTATACCAGATCAGACAAAAGGTAAATCTATACAGCACCCCATCTGACAGAAACCAATAGTAAGTACCAAAGTATAGCAAAGTCAAACATATGCAAAGTACTCCTCCATTCTCCAGCAAATTCAAGCTCAGGAACTTCCTGAGCAGAGGCAATCTGTCTGAATTTAACAGCCCTCAGCAGTTTTTTCCAAGGTCACTTGAGCCCCCCAGTTCTTGTATTGAGACAGCAAATCATCACTCCCTTTAACCTTTTTCAAGCCACTCCTAAGTTTATAGACCTTTTTCTTGCTCCCTACTCCAGAATGACACCCGTCAGAAAAGGGCAATAACTGTATGCAAAATGGATTTTCATTTTAAATGAAGTCATCATCACCTATTTCTTTTAGAGTGTTCATTATTCTGTTGAATTGATTTTTTAAAAATCGATGGGTAGGCAGCCCTAATTGTTACCTTAGATTGATCCATTTGCAGCTGTGACACCACATCAATAAAAAAAAAAATCATAATTATCAAAGTGCTAGGGGTTTAACAGGAGTGAATTTACAGCAATAAGGCAGTAAGACAACTAATCAGCAATGGCACAGAAATTCCGCCCCCAAAGTTCTCCTGTTGCATTCCAAAACATGTTACCAGTATAACGGATAAGAAAATTCAACATCAAATTTAATTCCTATGGCAAAAACCTAGATGTACAATATAACTCCCTCTTGTAAGACTCTTTGCCATGTATTTCTGTGTATGTTTGTGTAAATACATACACACACCCACACGCAAATATATAAATAATGTAAGTATCTATATAAATATACACACATATGGATGTGGATGTGTGCATGTGTGTATATATATACATATATATACACACACATACATGCCTCTGTGTGTGTGTTTGTGTGTATGCGTATAAACAACAAAATTTTCTTGATGAAGAGTAAATCAGACAAAGAAGGAAAAAAGATGAAATTGAATAAAGGCAGTAGAAAAGAGAACCAGGAAAAACAGAGAGAAGAGAAGGCTGAGATTGCTTATCTGTGGTAGCAGTTTTCTCTGTGCTAATTTGAGAGCTTTAATAAAAAAACATGAGGAAAAAGTATTTGGCTATGATGGTGCAACGTAATTAAACAAGTGACTATTTGCAAAGTCAGCTCACACTGTCACAGACACCTGCTTAATCATCCGGATAAATCGACATACTTTGCTTTCAACATGTCTATGAACTGTTCTTTGCTATCAGCAACAAACATATACCAACTCTGATAGTGAGATGAAACAAGATCCCACAGACACTCAACAGTCAAAGCAGGTTGCTCTCCTTTTCTGATTCATCATGATTTGGTGCGTTATGTTACTTTGACAGATTTGGAACAGAGCGGGTACAAATGGTGGAAAGCAAATACAGGGATGGCATGGCATCACTGTCATTATCCTGCTACAGCTTCTCGATTTTTCCTCAGTTTATTTACATAAGCCCTAAATAGAACTAGGATAGAATCAATAATCAGGAAAACATGCAGGAGAAGGAAGTCTAGTTAGATTGAGGGGAACTGCTAGCTGAAAATACATATGTACACATGGGTTTTACATTCACTCAAATATTTATCAGTGAGAGAGAACATTTTACAACCTAGCAAATTTCTGTCAAAATACAAGGCTATATTGTATGCACCTGAACGTCAAGCAGGACCAGCCACGTAAGTAAAACCTGCTTTCCAGAGTGAAAATTGGCAAAAGTTCCTTAATTCAAACAAAACTGAAGTTACAAGCATTTTGCCTGAAGAACAGAAGGGAATGGAGAGAACAGAAGCAGTGGAATAGATCTTTTGTAAGGCACAAGACTAATGAACTATTCATTATGCACCTAAAAAGCAATTACATTTCTCTGAAGCAGAGGAACTGATGATCAGATGCCCCAACCCATGAGAAGCTCCAGGTCTGAAAGAGGGTGAACAGTACTGCTACATTTTCTATATATGCAGCAATGAGACTTAACATTGTTTAAGCAGTTAAAGGAAAAGTAGTTTTGTTTCAGCAAAAAGGAAAAGTAGATTTTGCCCAATTTTTTTTCCACATGCTGCAGAAAGCAGGACTGAAAAATCCAGATTCCCATCACTCCTGCCCAAAGACAGTAGTTTTATTTTCTGATATTTCTAATATCAGACATTCTATATCTGATTATGCCCAATTTTGCTTAAAGACTCATTTTAAAATAAAACCTTTCTGTCCTCTTCCACACTTTATGGAGAAGCAAAAACCATATGCCATGCTGCAAACAGAATAATAAAAAAAAAAAAAACATTATCCAGCACACGACTTTGGTAGACAGCAGTGAAGAATGAAGCAATGAAAAAATGAAGTCAATTGCCTGATAACATTCTCCTTGCTCCCAAAGAGTTTGTAGCGACTTTGTAGGTTGACAACTCAGACAGATACAAAACACGTTCACTATCACAAAACAGCCACCTTCCCCTGAGGGAGTGGAAGAGCAGGAGGAATTTGCTGCATGAAGATAACACATATCATTATTAAACAAGATGAGCAGAAACTCAAATGAAGCCATGAAGAAGCACCCTGTGGACTCAAAATACAGAACATGCAGATGAAAGAAGATTGGCAAAGCTCCAGAGGAAGTCAGCAGCCTTGCTAGAATACTTTTCGAATATACTTAAGTCCTTTCCAATTAGATTCCAAAAGCTGTTGGTTGGTTTATCCCTTACCATTTTAGAGTCTAGATTCTCAGCATCCTGAGGATGGTAGACTGTCATCAGGGCTTCTGTACTGACGGTTTTGCTGTTACTCCTCTGACCCATCTTTGTCCTTCCCTCATCAAAATCCATTGGATTGTCAGAGGCAGAACTAGCTACAACCTTAAAAGAATTAAAAAGAAAAAAAGACATTAACAATGGTAGCCATAAATGCCAAGAAGTCCTTCAAGAAGGAGAACTGATACCAGATGCTGTTTCACTTCTACACCATCGTTTTTTATGATGCTTTTAAGTTACACGCACCAGATACAGCATTAAAGTTCACACTTGCATGAAACACATATTTGCATGAACAGACTTCAAAACAAATGAAAAAACAGCGTAGTTCATGATCTGTACAGCCAAGTTTTCAGAAGACAGCACCTGAAAAATCTACCTCTACAGCCAAAAATATATTCGTATTATGAAAGGACAAATATTTATAAGAACAAGAACTATTACAGATATAGAGGCCTGATCAATCAATCACCACTTAAGTTGAAAGAAAAATATTTATTTAAATGGAGCCATATACAGAACTACCACTACATTCGCATGGGCATGGTCATTTATTTTTCCACACCTTAAAAACAGAGCTACATACTTAGCAGGGTTTGTCAAAATAATACAGATATAACCCAAGCAAGGGCAGTCTAAAGCTGAACGCCCTTGAGCAGCAGACCTTATCACTCGGGTCTCCCAGGGGCTGTTCTGTACCCTTATCAGCTGAGCATTTCTGTTGCTATCAAACTATTTTGCTCTTATTACTCATTTGTGCTTTTTAACCCTTCAGAATCCAAGTGTCAAGGCAGAGATTTTGCTGATACACTGATTAGTTTCTACCCAAAGCATCTGTATGCCTCTCCACTCTTACAACTGTCACTTCAGAGGCTATGCCAACTGATTCGACTTCATTTTTCCAAGCTCTCCTGACCCCTTCCCAAAAGAGAGGGGCTCACCCAGGCTACCTGGATCTCCAGCTTCTCAAGCACTCAATTTTATACATTTGCCACACATTCAGGTATTAGGTTAACAAGGGACAGCCAACCTTCAGCTTAACTGCAAGTATCTGTGTAACTCTGACCCACGGCCCTCAAACATAAATGTGCCTTGTTGGAAAGAGAGAAGTGACATCTCTTGTGGTTCTTGGCATCTGCCATTACAACATAAATATGAACATTCATAGGTATAAAAATGCAAATTGTACCTTTTAATAAGTGAGTAAGGATATACGGGGTTCAAACACTGAAAATTTCCATTATCAGTGCTAGAGCAGATTTACCCAGCATTTTCCAGCACATACTGAGTTAAGCTACCACAGATTTATCCTATAGTAAAGTCCTGCGACTCAAAACTAAGGCATGCCAAGGCAGCTAGAGCCTAGCTGCCTACAGTCTACCTTGCATCTGACAGAGCAGGATGTTATAGATGAAAGGTCTTTGTGAACTCGCATGTCAAGGTAGAAGTCCCACTGACTTCAGTAAGGAACGTGGTTCCTAATAAGTGGAACTCTTCAGGGGAGGTATACAGAAACTATAATACATAATGCTTGTTGGGGATGTTTTGTCACTTGCTTTCTTGTCTCATGCATATACAGATTTCTTCACATCCAGCATCTACCTTACAATCATTCCATCAACTTCCTGAGCAAAATAATCAGCTGGCAAAAACCGACACAGCTATATATGATTTCACACCAGACTGGTGGACTTTGTTTTAAATGTGAAGGGTCTGAGGAGTAAGAGGTGGGAACGTGATTTTAAAAAAAGACTGTAAAATTCAAATTCAGACAACCTGAAATGCAGAGGTTGCAGCAGACATTCTTGCTCATCTTTCATCCAGACTCAAGCTTTAACAATAAACATACAGCATTACATGGTGAAATGTTGAAAACGATACATAAACTCTTAGTAAGAGCAGACAACCTTCTTCCTACAAATAGTAATAAGAAATTAGAATTAGCTAGGCAGTTACCTCTGTATTTATGATGCGTTGTGGACTTGAAGTTGCACCACATTTGATCCTGAGCTTTGCCACAAGCTGTTCAAAATCTCTAACCTCAGTGAAACGAAAAGCTGTTTTTCCTTTGGTACTAATGCTGACTCCCCTGTTGGCTGGATCTGCCTTATCCACTCCTGTGACCTAGGGAAGCAAGGATATGTACATTAGACAATCCATCTCAACAAATGTTATCTGCTTGCTTCCAGAGGAGGAAAACAGTTAAAAATATATGGATACATGAAACAGTACTACGAAGCATAACACAAGCAGAATTAATAATGCAGGTGACAAACTCACCGCTTTCAAGCACAGCGACCTGCAGCTATCTTAGCATAAGGTAATAAACATTATGGGATTGATTTTCAGCAGATTAGCATTCAGCGCGTCAACTATCTTTGAAAAGGTGCTCCTCGCTTTAAGTGGTGAGCTTGTGTGAAAATCTTGCCTCCTCCTCCCTGCTGAAGCTGTTCCTTTTTTTCTTACCATCCCAAACCAGACAAATCGTGGCTCTTGCAGGTAATCGAGTGAAGCAGGTTTTGCAAGAATAAATTTCCACTGAGAATACCCTTTCAAGACAGCTGTCATAACACATGACAGCTGGAACGGATTTTAATTGTCATGATGGAATAGTTACAGATTAGAGCAGTTAATACATTTTATTAATGTAAGTACTTTTGGGGGAAATAAACTCATAAGACAGTCATGAATAGCTAGACTGACTGTCTTTGCTGATGCTTTTACATTGCTATAGGCAAAGAATGAAAGACCACTGATATGAAAAGACGTTCTGCAGTACTGCAGAACAAATAGTGATGGCCTGACAATCCCCAAGGGAGAATTCAGAGTCAATTCCCTTAACACAATCTCTTTCTGTTTATCACAGTTTACGGAACTCACTGTTGCTTGCAGGACTACAAAGAGACAATCAAATGAACTGCGTTGTCTGGGTGCGGCATGCCAAATGCATTGCTGAAATTAACTGAGTTACATCAGAAATTAATCTGACTTGGTAAACAATATTTCCAAAAACTCTGTTCTAATAAATAATTCATTTAAGACAATATGAAGAAGAGCAAATTTGGGCCAGGGTTACCTGCTATAACTACATTGATATGGAACAGTAAATCATACCAAGTGAGAATTCACCCCACTATGTCAGGTAACCTTTATGCCTACATCAGGCAGTAGGCAGCCCCAGTATATAGAGCAATTACAGAACCTGCTAATTTCTAGGCTATTTTAAAATATGGCTGGGTGCTGCTGAAAAGCCTGTAACATTGAAAGATTGAAATGCAGCGACGTCCACAGACCACATGCAGTCAAGACACGGACAGAGAAGGTTTTCTTTTCTAAAAGTTATTCCAGTCTAGCTATAGTACCTTGTAGAGCTATGAACGCTATGTCATTTACTTTATGGTCGTTGTTCTATCTGTTGAGAATGTCAGCTGTGTAATGGCACTGGTATTTGTCCATTTAAGATTATCAACGGGCTTCCCTATAGATCTTTAAACAAACAGCACTGCTCAACTACTGAAAAGAGCAGACTTGAGCTAGTGAACTAAGGAAGAAAGATGGCAGAGCAACTACCAGTTTTCAAAATCCTCTACCCTCTCTAATTCTTTACTTTTTAGCATAAGAATCTTTCATTAACTCAACCTCAAAAGAATTAAGTATAAGCTTTTTTTTTTAAAGAAAAAAAGGCACTAAAAATCGGGATTCTGTACCTATCTATAAAAATCAAAGCAGACAGAAAACGCAAAGAGGATATAAGGAACACAGCTGAAACATGAAAGAAGTTCCATAAGCCACAGGATTCCTACACGCAGTATCCAAGAAAGGGGAAAAGTATGACATCAAGTAAATTAAGCAGATTCGAATGAAAATCTGTACTGAGAAAAATAAATTACTATCCTGGTATTAAACTACACAAGTACAAAACTCTCAGTATAACTAGCTTTGATGATAGTTTGCATTACCTCTCTTAATGGAATGATCACACTGCACAAGCTGCCATCCTGGCTAGCAAAGCAGATGTAGTTCTCCGAAATGCACATTTTCCCATGGGTGTTGAAATGACTGAAAGGAACCCATAAGAAGCACTCATGAACTTCCTTCAAAGTCTCTTCTTTCGGTAGCCTGAAGAATGCACTAAACTGCTCACTGTGGGCTCGGCTCTCCAGGCCTCTAGATTTAAAAAAACAAACAAACAAACAAAAAAGAAAAAAGTGAGGGAGGAGAGAGAAGAGGAAAATGAAAGAAGTTTAAAATCTCTTTAAGTATATGAAAGTCAAAATGCCCTGGGAAAAGTCTAGTTCAAAAAAGTACTACATCACACTCCCATGCGTGAAGTTGATCTAGACAGGTGCCACAAGTTCAGCCTTTCGCTCTAACAGGCAACAGAGTGCAGGACCAGATCTATATACACCCGCATAACAAAATACTTAAACGCTTCTCTAAATATTAACGGATTCAAGCACGTTCTTAAGTAGATGTCTCGTTTACAATGTCCTTAACCTGATTAACTTAAAGATCATTTTTGAGACTGAATCAGGGTCTAAAGGTAGCAGAGAAAAAAACCCACTAATAGTCCAGTCTGCTCCACTTCCCAGCCCATCCAAATAATCCATTTAACCCTAAAAGAAGTTTTTGGCTTGACAGAGGGTTAATTAGCTAGAACTGTAGTAGCACGTGTTGGAAACATCTGCCATGGGATAACTCTTCACAGATAACTGCAACCAGAAACAATGTTTTGGCAGTACAGCAACATCCATCTCCAGCATCGCTACCACACTGAAATATTAATTTCCCAGGAAACACAGCCTAAAACAAGTTTAATTATCAGTGTAACAAACGACTAAAAGGCAACTTTTTTTTAACTGTGAGTGCAAGGATCTTTAACTAAGAACGAATAAAATGAAGTTAGCAGAAAAAAATCAGATAAGTACTAAAATGTATTAGAAAAATGCTTTACCATCTTTTCTGATTTGCAGATAGATAACATGCTTCCAATAGACGTGTAGCCCCCTTTCTGTGAACTTAAATTACCTGACAATAGTCTTGCTTCTCTTGATTACTTTTCACAATAAGTAGCTGTGGTCCATAGGTCCACAGACCAAAACCTGAAAATTTAAGTGAGAATTTGGACAGGTCCCTGAAGAAAAGGCAACATTTTCCTCAACAGAAAATAAGAGTTGAATAGGAACCATAGATTTACCATAAGGAATAACCACACACTGACTGAGAAGGGAAGACTCTAACCAACAGGTTATTTACATATACGCCTTTTACACTGCCCAAAATACTTCCAAAATTAAAGAAGGCCACGCACCAATCTGCAACCCAGTGATTTTATCACTGATCTCCAGTGCTAGAAAAGTCATGCAGTTGCATGTATTAAATTATTTATTCTCTTTCATCATCAGGTCTCTCTTTGGAGACACTGCAGCTCCATTCTTGATTTTCTACATCTAATTGCTGCTAAAACACCTTTTAAAAATACTACTATATTCCCGAAGCTGAAACCTAGCGCTGAAGATTTGATCCATTCCTGCCTTCATACAGACTTTGGATACTACAAAGTGACAATAAATTATAATACCTCATACTGTTTTGATCCCAAATTTTAATAAGACGTGTTTAAGAGAACACCAGCTTTGCAGGTATTTGCGTTTCTCCTTGGGACAAGGACTCTCTTCCCACATCTGAAAAAGTACTGAGCACAGAGCAGATAGACTACAAATAATACATTACCTCTTGGTGATCTGCAGAGGGTCATGAAGGACTAGGTCATTTTCAAACGTCTCCTTGTCAAAAAGCCTCCTAACAGCATAGTTCGCCAGCTGCTCCATGAGAAGGAACGTTTCATTAATGTGCAAAAACATGGAAAAGTAGTGGTCTTCCCCATGGGAACACACATGAATGCTCTCTGTCAGGATCACATTGGAAGTCTTCTCAAGTTTTGATATTTCATCCCAGGAGATAATGAGTTTTACTGAAAATATGAATGTAAGCAGATGTGAGTAACTTCTCTTGCTTACCCTCATATTAGGAAAAGAAGAGCAGCAGTCAACAGAACTAAATAAAATGTAATTAAACAGCACAGTTAAATTATAACTGACTTGGAAAGGGCTACAAATCCACAAGCACAAAAAGCAAAGACTCTAGTCTATGAAATAATTCTACTAGCTAGAATTTTATAGAAAGAAATACATCAAAGATGCACCATGTATGAACATAAAATGTTACATCATCTATTCTCTAATGCGAAACTGCAAACAAACAGCATCATGTAAGCTGCCCTGTTTTACTGATAGACCTTCTTAAAATAAATTGATCATTTATTGCATATTTAGCAGAACTTTGCCATTTAGCCACTACGAATGAGAAGTAGTTGCATGTATCCGCTTAGAAAGTATCCTAATTTCTTAATGTTTTCTAGTTTTTAGTTATGTACAGCTATTGCTCACATTATTATACACGTTTGTTTGGGCAGTTCAAACTAAATGTCACATAGAAAAAAAAAAGGTGCAAACATCACCAGTACGTAGTACACCCATCGAAAAATTAAACAAGTCTGTGCGTGTGAAGAAATAACTGTGATCTTCACAGAGTGAATTCATCTGCAGCATGAACTACAGATGAAGACAACTGCAATAGCTCTGCCTTCTCTAGGAAGCTTATATAGAGAAAGAAAGCTAATGGACTTTGTTTTGTCAGTTTTCCAAATGTTTTTATTCCCACAGAGTATTTTTGCTTTGCTTTTTTTTTCCTGCTCTGTGTTGAAATTTGCTCACATGGTGAAATAAGTCACTTAGAACATAGGAATAATTGTGTCAAACCTGAAAGCTACATAATAAAATGTGAAGGGACTAGGCTTAGCATCAGCGCTTACTTACTTTCTGTTCCCAACAAAAATGAGTAAAAGCTAAGAAAGTTGGTACTAAGATAAAGCCATCCTTGACAAGGCACTCTGCCTCTCCAGTAACTGCATGAGTAATAGGTAACCAACTTCTCCTGCTCAGGTAATCCAAAACACTTTTCAAATTTCATAAGACCCTCACGAAACTTCTCAGGATCTTCTTCTTTTACAAAAGAACCTTTTCCCTCTTCAGCAATCAAACCCTAAAACAAAAGAACCAGTTACTTCACATATTTCTCCATGTAGGTGCATGTCATACGTGCAGTGCATACCTACAATACCGCATTCTCCTAACAGCAAAAGTTTTCAAACAGGAAGAGTAGTCTCATGATCAAAACACAGAACAGTCGCAAATAAAACGTGCTATTTCTAGGTCTCCCACACCACAATAACTTTCCACCAGGTCTCCCACACAACCTGTAGCAAGACACACATCCTCAGGTTTCCTCATCTGAAAACAAGAGTATTTTCCTCACTTTATCACAAGAATTCCTAAATGTTTACTATATATAAAATGAACAGCTACCTCTTCACAAAAACCCATATATACTTACTAAGCATTATCAACATATATTGTGAAATAATTTATCATCATCAGTTTTTAAACCACTGTTTAAAGGCATCTGGACAGTGCTGTCCTTTGACATTCTAAGGAGGACATATTATTAGCGTACATTTAAAGAAAAAACAAATTTAGCCACTCCTAATTATGCCTGTTACTTACTCTTATCTTTCCCTGGACAAAGCTCGTAATATCTTCATTTGAATCAAATACAGATAAAGTCTTCATAACATTGTGTTCTAACCAGTCCCAGTGTTCTGTTATTTCTTCTCTGCTGGCTCCTGTTCGAAAGAGCAAGTTAATAGTACTTAAAATTAAAATGGCTTTTAATCACTTAACTAAAACAAATGTTAAACAAGATTCAAACTAATCAAGAGAAAACTCAGCGAGTTCTAGGTTCACAAACTAATTTAGATACACAAGTTCAAATCACAGGTCTCAAATTTACTGTCCAACTCTTGTGTACATTAAAAATGTACACTGCTATGTTTCCATCTTTCAAGCTCTTGTGTAGCTATATTTCTGCACTATACATCTGGATGCATCTCAGCTTTGTCAACACTGTGCGACTTATTGAAGTACTCTGACTTGGACTGACAAATTGGATCTCTCTGTCTGCCTTCTCCAAGGCCTTCTCTTGAGTAAAGGTCCTCAGAATGGCTACCTTGCAAGAATGCCAAATTTATAAAGTCCCTGAAAGAGCATCCAAAACTCAGACTGAGAGAACAGTGGACCTCTCCTCTCCCTGTCTCAAGTAACTGTGCAGTTATCTCAGCACAGCAGTACCTCTCCAACAGAGAGCAGAGTGTCGCTAGACCACACCCTGCCTAACGAGTAGGGCACTCCCCTGAAAGGCGGCAAACGTGATCAAATTCCTAATACTCATAAGGAAATTAAATCCGGGCCTCTTGATACAGCTGAGGAGCTGTAATCACTGGGCCGGCAGTTTTTGGAGGAGGATTCCAAGACTCAGGCCTACTGTGCAAAAAAACATTCTAACAAATGTAATGATGTAAAGCGTACATCACTTTAACCAGGAAGGTTGCAAAGAGTTCTCTTTGGATACATGAAACAACCATTTATGTTGTCTACAGCAGACAACTTAATCAACTGCTACTTACTTGTGCTCATCATAAGTCATGGTTTTATCTCATACACACTTTAATTAGCTCGCTAATCATGATAAAGCTTAAGCAACCACAGTTCAGGAAAGAACGTCATTCTCTCTACAATAACATCCTGCTTACTTTACAATTTCCAACAGTGCAGTGTTTTCATGCAGTCCTAGGGTTTCACAAGAGGGCTGAAGCATAGCTGCATCCCAAATGGAGAACATACACCCAATCTAATTCCTAATTCCAGAAAAAAAAAAATCACTGACTCATATAGAATTAGTACTATTTTCTTCTGGACCCTCTGGAACTCTAACACATAGGAATAAAGAATGTTTTCTTCCACTTCTTTGCATACACGCAAGAGAAGGAATAACTTAGAAATGCTGATATCAATAACCTTAAGGAACGTAGGAACCATAGACCCAAGATAAATTCAGTGTTCCAAAATACAAGAAATGCATTTCTAAAATCCTTAGGGAGAAATCAAGCTTGTTACTTTATTTATTTACAGTACTTTTAATCTTGGTTTCAGAGAGCTATCACCTACCATATACTGAATGTCATTGCAAATTTATAGCAAATAAAAAACCTAACTCACCTGAGCTTTCCAGAAAGGCATTTAGATTAGTATTTTACTTTAAATGCAAAAGAAAACTCTTACCCACTAGCTACTTTTTACAATCAGTGAAATGTGGTAGGCCATCTTTAAACTTGTTACGATAATTCTGCTTATCCTTTTTGGTAGACTAAGTTACAAATTATGCCGGCAGTACCAGATAATAAAGCAGAAATGATAAAAGTGAAACAACAACAATAAAGATCCAGCAAATTCAATACTGAGTCAGTTCTTTAAAGACAGGCAGCTCTTTCCCACCCATCAGATAGTGCAGGAGAGGAAAAGGAGAGGGAGGGGAAAGAATTTATCTGTGTTTGAATGAAGGGATTCTAGAGTATAAATTAGTTGGTGGTTTCATCCTCCACAGGAAAGTACACAAACAAACTGTCAGTATAATTACATACCATCAGTACCCTGAAGAAGAACACAACATTAACAATTTCTTCTTTCTCAATTTACTTTGTAAAGACCAATTAAACAGCTTCTACTGTGCTCGACAGCATTAAAGTTGCCTTGGGAATGAATAGAAATTGTTCTAAATACGGTTAAATAGTTAAAATATGCTACATATTGTGAATTTGCAATGGCACTTAAAAAATGACATAAAGGGTAATTAACACAGCAATGAAATTGCAAACTAATTCTCTTTCTCAGACTATAAGAACAGGACAATTCTTTGAGTCACTGTAGGAATCTGAGGCACAGGTGTGACACTCCAAGGGTGAAATTTTTTTAAAAGCATTTAAAAGGTTTAGGAGCACTGTCATTATTACAAATACCAGCCTAAAAGCCATTTTTATAATAAGGTTTTCATCAAGAACTTGCATCTGGTACTGCTGAAAATAAAACTTATGACAGGAGAAATTACACTATCAGAAATAGTTCTCAATCCTGCTTCAGAACACCTAGTTCACCTTTAAATCTCTTTTGCTGTACTTACTTACATGTTCTGTAACATGCTGCACTGCTTTGGAAGTGCACTGTATACAATTGCCAGGGACGAACTGGCTGAGAAATAAATCCACAAACCAAGTATTTTCCTTTTGGGGATCAGCCACCCCCCACTAATTGCTTTGGACTTTTTGCACAAATTTCAGTGCTCCCTCCAGAACTGCCTTCAGACAATCAAGAACTGGCTTCCTGGAGCCAATATTTTTCAGCCACATGTTTCAGCAGCTGCCTAGCTAACGTTGCCAGACAGGTGTACTATAATGCTTTGGCAAGGTGAGGATAATATTATTTTCCCCAGTTTCCTCCGCTAGATATGACTTCCTGAAACATAAAGTTAATATCGTAATACAAAAAAGCTACATTCCAGGCTATAGCACTGATAAAACCTACTTTCCCGGCTATGGCACTGCTACAGTGTAAGACCTCAGAACACCACGAACATGGCTAATGCCTTGTTTTCTCACGTAAAGCCTGTAAAACACACTGGCTCCCTGCATTGTTATGGCAAACCTTACCTTTCGAGTTTCTCACCAGCTGGTTTATCACCAGCTCTGCAGGAATAAGGACCTAACCAGAATCACAGCAAAAAGAACAATCTACAGTCATCATTAGCTGCCTACGGGAAATCATTTATTCATGCTGTCACTCGCTACAGCAGCAGAAAGGCCTCAGAACAGGTGATCAACACACTTGTTTCAGACCCTTCACATGTAACAGCAAGAATTTAGTCTCTTAAATTTATCCACTTCACAGAAGGAAAAACCCGTTCTGTAACACAAAGTATAATTACATTCTGTAGCTTTTTGTACTAAAGTCTATTTACATAACAAAGAATTGACAGAAATTCAGTACTAAAGATTACCTTTCATATTTTCCCAAAGGCAGATTTCATGGCATTAGAATTCCCCAGAGTATGTTTCCCACGTAACTGTCAAAGTATCTTTTTTGATAGCCTGTCACCATTAGTTCTTACTTCCTCAGAACTTCTCCTAAAATTTAACTTACTGTCAATTCACAAACTGTTCAAATTATCAACTTTAAAATGCTGCCCTTTCAAAGTAACACATAATGAGCTATATTAAATCGTTATTATACACAGTTCTCTCACTGACTACTGCCCTCCAGAGATGTCTTTGCGGAACATGCACAGGAGCAGAACAGTGCTGCCTTATGAAATGCATAAACTACTGAACTAAAAAGACACTGAACTACACCTAAAAAGATAAAGTTATATTTTGAAATTAGTTAACTGCACAGAAAGGATAGGTAAAGGCACAATTTTCATTTAAGGTGAAGCAATAAAGAGCTCACAACAAAATTCCGGAAACGTGACAACAGCATAGCATCCACCAGGGGAATAATTCATGCGCGCAAGTGTTTGCAGGATGGTCTCTCTAGTTTTGTTGCAAAGCTCAGCTTTTGCCACAGGCAACTAAAGGGAAGGTCTGGAGAGCTGAGAATTCCAGATGGAATCTAGTTTCTTGGAGAACACTACCAATTAAAAAAAATAAAGCTGGCAAAAATGATCTAAAATATACGTAATTTTGTAATTGTAACTATTTCAGAGTTTTCAGTAATTCTAACAAGTAAATTAATTTTGCACTAGTAACATTTAGCATTAGACCATAAGACACTATCAATTAATTTCAATACGCAAAACTTAAAAATAAATAAATAAATAAAATAAAAAATAAAAATGCACATTACCAAAAGCAATTCTCTTCCGTTTCCTACTGTTTAATAACACAATATGAGAAAGAGAAAGAGCGTGGCACACTATGAAAGCAAAAGATATGAGGGAGAATTCAATTCTTACCATAACTGGGACCCTGGCTTATTTTAACAAGTAAAGATAAAGTAGCAAAAAAAATTGTATAAGCAGCTCCTGTTTATTCCCACCCACAGCAGGCTCAGTACTCCCAAAGGTCAACTTTTCCATATCATCCTGAACTCTGCCAAATTACAGAGGTTGTTTACAGCTTACAAAGGAAAAGGTTGTGCCACTGTTATTCTAACAGAGCAGCAAGACAGTTCATCAGCGGTTGAGGGACTGCCACAGAAAGCAGGCAATCTGAAGTTGTAAAATAAAGAGTCCATTGATATATTCTGAAAAACTGGAACCATATATTGCTGTCCATCTCAGGTTTGTAATCTCAGGAGCATCACTATACCACTAACAAATAACTTTAAACCATTTAGAGGTCATTGGAATGAATAACGATGAGAGAAGATTGCTACTCCCTTCCTTTGTACCTCGACTAAAAGAAGATTTTTCACGTTATAAATTCACTTAACTTCTAAATAATAATACATACCACAAGCAATAGACCAGTAAACTTGAGAATCTGGTGTCTGATGCAGGATGCGAAATGGAGCCACTTTTGATGTAGAATCCAACACTGCATCCAGGGTTCCCACAAGAAGACCTGTTGCATTTAAAAAATATAACGTATACACCACAGTGAAACTAAGATTTGGAAACATACACTCATCTTCTAATTCCTTACTCGACAAATAGGAATACTACTTGAGTAAAGACTTACTCTCTTTTGACCTCTGAGAAACTAAGAAACGCAAATGAAGAAAGCAAAACGTGCTCCCAGAGGGACATTTTTGGGAGGTGATATCATTTTGATCTGATGAAAGCCGTTAAAACACAATCTGAGGGTCAGGAAGTTTCTGAGATGCCCGTGGAAGTGTAACAATACAGACTCCAAGCTGAAAAGTAACGTGATAGCTCTCAGCCTTTGAGGAGCTCAAGCTCTATTTGAACTACCTCTCAAGGCGTTTATTGTTGTTCTCTTTTCCAGTCAAAGGAAACCATAATTCCATTATGTCTGATTTATAAAAATATCATCCATTGTTTTCAAATAAGAACAGCATATCATACTTTCTGTACATACTGGCATTTTGCTGCTCATTCCCAGTGTGTATACTCCATATTGTAAGCACACAGTTACAAAACGCCTGCCATTCTATATATGAGATGACTCACATGCACAGTACGGAACACTAATATTTTATCCTACCATCACATGCATAAGAATAGTAAATAAAGTGTATTATTCCAATATTTATTATATACCCAAGATAAAATGGCTATACCACCTTCTTGCCAATAGATGCTGAATTAATTCCTATCACGCAGAGTTCAGATCACAGAATGATTTTATTAATGAGACACACTTCGTCTCTCCATAACCAGGAGTGAAAAATTTCCTGATAAAATACGTGAGTATGCATTTTATCTTGACTGCAGAAATCTTTCTTTCTGTACAGCAGCAAAGGTTAGCTCAGCTATTTCAAAAGTTGCTTGCAAATCTAAGAAGCAAGGAATTCTAAAAGGGGCAGAAAAACCCATAGATTAAAAAAAAAAAAAAGGCTTTTGGATCCGGATGCACAAGTAAAACTCTTCTTCTTATTATAACAGTAACAAAAATACAAGCCACGACAATTTCTTGCCTTATGCTTCCTTCTTATACTTCCAATGCTTTGGATCCTTCTAGTGTGGCCACATAAACGGAAAGCTCAAACAAAGCAAAGCTACCAGAGCAATCATACACAGCTTTTCCTCTACAAGAGGACTGAAAAATAAGATCTACAAGAGACGCAGATATTCAAAGAGACGCTGTAAAGTCTGCTTCATAAATCTGCTGAGATTATGGACGCAGGACATTCTGAAAAACTGCTATCGAGGAGACAGCTTGTATGCAAGGTTAATACATCCCTGAGGACACCTCTGTGTACCCTTTTCATAGGTATCTGAAAGTTATCTTCTGATTCAGGCTTTTCATATTCTACTGAAGCAATAGATTTAGGTGATTTCAACTGGATCCATCAAAGGTTCTTTCAAATTTTTAGGTTGGCTTCTGGCACCTTTCATTCCATTTTCTTTTCATTAATCCTCTCTCAAATTCTGAAAAATATCAATTGCGAGAGACTATAATACAATGAAGCATAGTAAGACCAAATAGAGAAGTCTAGACAGTGATCTTCAGAACATCATTTTCCTATACACACACTTCCACCACAGAACCTGTGTGACTTCTCTTACTGCGGCTATTCGGGTTTCAGAATGATTTTGCTTCACTTCAAAATAATGGAAGTGAATAATAATACAAAACACAGAAAACCTCAAAACCCAAAGATCAGTAAATCACCTGAATCAAAAATATTATCTTGTGTTGTCTGCAACTCATGGATTGTAGGCTACCACAAACATCATTTCCTCTTGCAAAGCAGATTTTTTTTTATAGTTTATAATTGAAGTCAGACACTGAATAGATAACCTAACATTTATGTCTGTTTAAAGAGCTATGACTTACTGAATGAGTCATAACACTGAGCTCATCTCAAAGCTGGCTTTGCTTTAGCAGATGTTTTATTATCTCTTTCACCATTCTCTTAATATCATTTTCTGTTATGATACATAGTACAAGGACATTAGTCACCATTTATGAGGTTGATACAACTGCTAAGCCTGAAGTGATGATTATGACACTGCATTAGAAAGCAGCACTCCTCAAAATGCCGGAACAGTTTCTGTCTATTTGGAAGGTCATTAGATTTTAGACACAATAAACTGTAGCAGGTTAGTATCAGGCACTTGAGCAGTTCTACAGCCAATACTGCTTTGTCCATGAACGTGATAAAGACTACAGGTTCGCTCTTAAGCTGATAGATACTCACTGCATTATGAACTATGAATTTCATGGCTATGGTAACTGGCATAACCGCAAGTAATCAGTAGAGTTACACCTTCTTACCCTGGTGCTTAATGTGCTCTTAACTACTAGCTATAAATTTTTTGAATACTGTATTATCAGTCAGGGTTTCCATAACTACAAGTTGTCTAGTGGATCTCAGCAAGCACTCCCTTTCACTGCTATTTCCCAAGGAGAAATCAAGGACCATGATCACCCAAGGAGCTATGACCAACACCGAGAGGTTTACTGGCACTCTGCTAATTCTATTCACATAAGTCTATTGAAAAACGATTCATTTCCAGGTTACCGACAAGCAACGATTCAAAACCCACCTGTATAATTACAAGGATATTAATTGGATAATAAAGGAGTAGGGAATAAGAGAACCAGTAACTGCTCGCTGCAGATACTAGCATTATTCAAGAATTATACACCTACTCTTATTAACATCTTGGCAACGAAGCTAATTCAGACCAGCTTTACTAGCCTTACAAATGACAAACTCTACGGTTTGTTGAGCAGTCACTGGTTTTAAAAGTAGAATAAACTCCTTATTCTGTGTTATTCATTCGTGGCCAAAAAATCTAGCCAAAAATCAAATAACAGGGCAGCCTACCCTAAAAGATTCCCAGTAGTCTGAAATGCATCTGGCTAATGACAACAGCTGGTAATTTTAACACTTTCCTATGAACAACAAATAACACAGATGAACGGTGCAGCATTCCCACGTTAAATGAAAGGTTTACAGTCAACTACCATGTAAGTGATTAGACAAGAGTATTCCTAAAAAGGTAAACTCAGAAAACACCAAATAAGAACAGATTCCAATCAAGATTTTGGTTTTTAGTACCAAGAGGTACTGGTTTTAGCAAACAGAGAATGCATGCTAGGTAGCAGGACAGTTGAGCTGTGTTCTCACCTCCGTCTTTTGCTTGTTGAGATTCTGAGTTACATAATTCTACTAGTCATTTCATCCTGACACAATATTAGTGATTTCTAGGGGAACATATATGAGTTATCTGCAGTGCCCTTTAAGAACCCTGAACAAGAGATGCAAAGAGTGATTTTTCCTGCTTTGGTATCTGTGTTTTTGAAACTGTTACCCGTATCCCAGCAATCTCCCTACCGTACAATGCAGTACAGAAGAGAGATCCACACCTCATCTTTCAATGAATAAATACTGAAAATGACCTAAACAGAGGAAGAACGGGAGTTCTCTGTGGCCTCTCAGGATGTAACACAGCTTGATTTTGATGCAGCGTTAAGAAAGCCAAAGCAAGGCTCTCCACCATCTTTAATGGGCACTGGATCAGGACTAAGGACTAAACATAGGTGAATTTCACTGCACTGTGCGTTTAGAAAAGGCTTACTTTTTCAAATAGCTGCAATCTGGAATCAATGAGCAAGGATTTCACCCAGGGTTTTTCCAGTTACTGAACTGGAAGTAACTCTCCCTCGGCAAAATGAAGTCACTTGCAGGTCTCTGCCAGGTAAGATCTTAACAGAACCTTTCAAAGGTGCATCTAATTCAAGGTATTGATTTGTAGATGGATGGAGAAAGAGAAACGTGAATTTACATACAGTCTCCATGAGGATAACTTGAATCACAAACTACAACACTGGTCCCAAGCAAATGAACAGGTTTATTTATGGGCTTTAATTATCTCTGTTACAGCAGCACCACAATCATATAGACTATTATTTGAGTTCACTTCCTGAATTAGGGCCAGATAGTACTTAAGCTTACAAGAGTCCAGAAAACCACCATATGACAGCTTTCAGCAACACTAACCCTCTCTGGCTAGTCTAAGCAACCTTAGAATTTTCATTCTTCAATAATTCTTTATTGCAAAAATATATCCCCAGTACGAAAAAAGCTGCCTAACTTGTATCACCGCAGCAGCACAAAGCATCTAAATCTTGTATATTTAGTATTGAGTCCTCTTTCCTGAACAGGAGTTTGGGTTCCCACCCCAACACATTTGTTGTGATCGTTATAAATTTAAGATCAAATTTAAGAAAGCGTAAATGGAGCTCTATTACATTGCAAAGTCTCATTGCAGCCCCCTAGAGACAACAAAGCTGATACAAATTAGAGCATTTATGGAAAAGGATTGATTTAACTTCTCCATAATGGAGGCAACGGGAAAAAAGTGACTTAGGCCATGCCTGCCAATTCCTTGCTAATGAAATACATTACATGCTCTTCTCAAAGAACTAATTTCAGGGACAACCTACAGAAGATCATATACTTTTTACTCTCACTTCTGCTCAAAGTGAGACACCACAGTTTCTAGTGAGGGTTTCACCCAAATCATCCTCTAGACTCACACTGGGGCATGACACACAGACAGCAATGCACACTTACAAGGAAAAAGGATTCTGCTTTTATGAAAGCATTTTAAGTTTCATAGTTACCTGAGCAAAACAATCAGAAAACACCCTAAATGCTTAAAGAAATAGGGTAAAATATCCTAGAAAATAAAATAAAGGGCAAAGAAACCAGAATAGCTTTGAAATAAGGATATGCTCTTTCCACAACTCTCTGAAATACATGGTTGACAGAACATCAATATTAGCTGACATAATATTAACAAATGGAAAGCTTTCAGCATATAATTCTTGAATACCCCAAAGTATTCATTAGGACCCTACGGAGAATGCTTCACAGCAAGACAGCTTGGAACAATCTTAGGAGGGTTTTGAATAGCTATGCCCTG